AGGAAGAAGAAGAAGTGGCAGCCTGGAGTTAGTCCAGGTCTCCGTCTTCCAGTTGGATGGAAACACATTTTCACATTCTTTGGTCCTTTTTCTTTAACTAGAAAAACACAACAGGAAGTTCAGAAACGAACGTGTTCTTTTATTTCATCCCTCTACGTCACGTCGTTTTGTTTCCCTTTTTTTGAGCCGTCCGATGGCCCACAAACCGAGGAGATTTTGGCCTAATATTAAACTTCGTGGACAACGTCGTCCTTGTGGCGGTGTCGACACTGGGATCACTGAGGATTCTCTCAAACTAAACTAAATAAAGTGAAACGGGAACAATCGTACTGTACGTCAACAAAATAAAGCTGCGGCTTTTATTCCAATTGGACCAAATTTCGGGCGATGAAAACGGACGGTGCGGCCTATCCTCCGACAACGTCTGCAGAGATCACGCCCCCGGGGGTTTCTGAAGGACAATATAAGGGGCCGCGGACCGCGTTTTGACCTTATGTGCGACCTGGACCTCGGGTCATCAGTGGCAGAGACTCAGATCTTTTCGGACCAGGCACTTCTTACACTGCACCACGCAACACCAGTGGAAACGACACAGACAATTCTCCTCGAACACCACCGTCTCCTCCCTGTAGCCGCGCTCGCAGCACAGCAGATCGCAGCCGCTGATGTCCATGGCCGTGCTGTTGCACATGCGTCCCCGCGTCCCCAGGGAACCCGTTTTCCGATTCGCCAGGCAGAAATCGGGAGACTCGTCCGAGTAGATCAGATCCTGCTTATCGGGAGGTTTTATGTTCTGGCCCACGGGGATCAGGGTCTTTCCGTCGTTGCCCCCCATCACCTTGGACGCACCGTTGAATCTCTCCAGCAGGTGGTCGCCCACCTTACGGAAGGGAGGCATCTTCTTCCAGCACGTACGTAAGGTGCACGAGCTCGACAGGCCGTGGCATTTACAATCTGTCTGCATGAAGAGCTTCACTGCCTGGAAGGGAAGGGGGGGGGGGGGGAGAGAGAGAGGATAAAACAAAAAAAAAACAAGCTTTGTCAACAACAACTGATTTAGAAAAAGGACACGTTTCTCCAACTTAGTCATTTATTGTTGAGTTTTTATGATATATTGTACCTAAACACACACTCTTACACACACACACACACACACACTGATAGGTAAGATAAAAGCAGACGCTGTTCAGAAGGAATTCAACTCCTCACC